CATGCTATCGATGTGGTAGAAATAACCATTGGGCTCGAAATTGTCGAGCCCCAAGGCACGAGGTTGAAAAATACCAAGATTCCCAGAAATCAAAAGATAAGAATATAGAAACTAATTTTATGGTTGGGGAATCCTCTGAAAATAATGCAATGCGTGTGGATGATGACTATGGCATCGATGACATATTGAAACTGGATTTTGCCGATGCGGCATTTGAAGACGGAGCTGGAAATGACCTAGAGAATAACTGATGATCATATTTTTATTTTGCTTTTTGAGTTGTAATGTATTTGTGTATGAGCTACTTGTATCCGTACTTTGAATTTGATCAATAATAAATGTTGTTTTCTTTTAGATCATGGATCGGTCTCGAATTCAAGATGGAGATATATGTATTGCAGATTGTGCTACTACTCATACTATCCTCAAGGACAGAAAATATTTCGTGAACTTGAAATTAAATGAAGCAAAAGTAAACACAATATCTGGAAGTGCAAAGATAATTGAAGGTTTTGGAAAAGCCATATTTTTTATGATGGGCGGTACAAAATTTATATTAAGTGATGCACTATTCTCCCCAAAATGAACAAGAAATTTGTTGAGTTTTAAAGATATCCGAACGAACGGATACCACATTGAAACGATGAATAAAGGGGGAGATGAATATCTTTGCATTACCTCAGATAATGCGGGAAATAAATGTGTTTTGGAGAAGTTACCCGCTTTATCCTCGGGTTTGTATTATACCCGGATTAATATAATTGAGGCATATGCTGCAACAAATTCAAAGTCGAATGAAATATTTAAACTTTGGCATGATCGACTTGGTCACCCTGGCTCGATAATGATGCGACGAATTATTGAAAATTCTAGTGGCCATCCACTAAAAAATGAGAGGATATTGCAAACACATGAGTTGACATGTGCCTCTTGTTCTCAAGGGAAATTGATAATGAGACCATCACATACTAAAGTCGGACATGAATCACCACTATTTTTAGAAAGGATTCATGGTGATATATGTGGACCTATTCATCCACCTTGTGGTCCATTCAGATATTTTATGGTGTTGATTGATGCCTCTAGTAGATAGTCTCACGTAAGTTTGTTATCCACTAGAAATATGGCATTTGCTAAATTACTTGCCCAACTTATTAAATTAAGGGCTCAATTCCCAGATTATATTATCAAGAGAGTCAGACTGGATAATGCTGGAGAGTTTACATCTCAAGCATTTAATGATTATTGTATGGCTGTGGGAATTGATGTTGAACATCCTGTGGCACATGTTCACACTCAAAATGGTCTAGCAGAATCACTTATTAAACGACTGCAGCTTATAGCTAGACCATTGATAATGAGAACAAAACTCCCCACTTCAGTATGGGGACATGCTATTCTGCATGCAGATGATCTAATTCGAATAAGACCAAGTGCATACCATACATTCTCGCCATTACAGTTGGCATATGGTCGAGTACCAAATATTGCACATATAAGAGTTTTTTTGTGCAGTATATGTACCAATTGCTCCGCCACAACGTACAAAAATGGGGCCTCAAAGAAGGTTGGGAATATATGTTGGATATGAATCTCCATCAATAATCAAATACCTTGAGCCAAAAACAGGTGATGTTTTTACAGCTCGTTTTGATGATTGTCATTTTAATGAAGAATTGTTTCCCCCTTTAGGTGGGAATGAAAAGTCAATTGAGAGAAATATTGAATGGAGAACATCCGCATTATCATATCTTGATCCTCCCACCAAACAAAGAGAGCAAGAAATTCAAAAGATCATACATTTGCAGAATATTGTAAATCAATTGCCAGATGCATTTACTGATTTAAAAAGGGTGACCAAATCACATGTGGTAGCCGTAAATGCCCCTGCTCGAATTGAGATTCCAAAAGAAATGGCAAATGACGATAAGCCAAATGAGTCAAAGACACGCTTGAAACGAGGAAGACCAGTCGGGTCTAAAGATAAGAATCCTCGAAAGAAAAGAGAAATTCTTGACTCCAATTTGAAAAGGAATCAAGATGATGGAAAAATTTCGGGATAAAATGAAAATATTGAGATTTCCATCAATTACGTGAACAATGGGAATCTTTGGAAGCGTGATGAGATCATGAATAATGATGATGCATTCGCATATATGGTATCAAAAGAAATTGATAATGAAGTTGAGGATCCTGAACCAAAATCTGTAGCTGAATGTCAGAAAAGACGTGACTGGGATAAATGAAAAGGCGCCATTCAAGCCGAGTTAGATTCACTAAATAAACGAAAAGTTTTTGGGCCTATTTCCATTATACCAAAAGGCATAAAACCCATTGGATACAAATGGGTTTTCACAAGAAAAAGAAATGAGAATAATGAGATCACGAGATATAAAGCTCGCCTTGTTGCACAGGGATTCTCCCAAAGGCCTGGGATCGATTATGATGAAACATATTCCCCTGTCATGGATGCATTTACTTTCAGATATATGATGAGTTTAGCTACCCATGAAAATCTTGAGATGCGTCTCATGGATGTTGTGACTGCTTACTTGTATGGATCATTAGACACCGACATATACATGAAAGTCCCAGAAGGAATCAGAATGCCCGAAGCACTGAACTCAAAACCTAAGGAGTTATGTGCGTTAAAGTTGCAAAAATCATTGTATGGCTTAAAACAATCCGGGCGTATGTGGTATAATTGTTTGAGTGAACAATTACTAAAAAGGGGATACTTGAATGATCAAATATGTCCGTGTGTTTTCATAAAGAAATCACATGATGGAGTTGTGATAATTGTTGTCTATGTTGATGATCTTAATATTATTGGGACAGCAAATGAAATTCGAGAAGCAGTTATTTTTCTGAAAGGCGAATTTGAAATGAAAGATCTCGGAAAAACTAAATATTGCCTTGGCTTACAGATAGAGAGAGTACAAAATGGGATATTCGTCCATCAATCTAACTATACTAAAAGAGTACTGAAACGATTTAATATGGACAAAGCTAATCCCCTTAGTACTCCTATGGTTAACCGAACATTGGATGTTGAAAAGGATCCATTTCGACCTTGTGAAGAAAATGAAGAAATACTTGGTCCTGAGGTACCATATATGAGTGCAATAGGGGCTCTTATGTATCTTGCTAATTGCACCAGACTAGATATATCTTTTGCTACCAACTTGTTAGCAAGATATAACTCGTCACCTACGAGGAGACACTGGAATGGAATCAAGCATATATTCCGTTATCTCCAAGGAACAATCGATCTGGGATTATTTTACTCAAATGATAAAAAACATGAAATGATCGGTTTTGCAGATGCAGGATATTTATCAGACCCACATAAGGCGAGATCTCAGACTGGCTACGTTTTCACTGCATTTTCCTGGCGTTCTCAGAAACAAACACTAGTTGCTACATCTTCAAACCATGCTGAAATCATTGCACTGCATGAAGCAACTAGGGAGAGCATCTGGCTCAGAAATATGACTCAACACATTCAACAAGCCAGTGGATTATCAAATAATAAAGATCCGACGGTCATATTCGAAGACAATGCAGCATGTGTCGCTCAGACCAAAGAAGGATACGTCAAGAGTGACAGAACTAAACATATCCCACCAAAGTTCTTCTCATACACTCAAGAGCTTGAAAGGAACAAACAGATCAAGATTCAATACATCCGATCATGTGATAATGCAACAGACTTATTTACGAAGGCGCTCCTAACTACAACATTTCGAAAGCACGTCCATAACATTGGAATGAGACATCTTCGAGATTTACACGGATGATAACTCGAGGGGGAGCATGTGCGGCTGTACTCTTTTTTCCTTATCTCGGTTTTTTTCCCACAGGGTTTTTCCGAATAAGGTTTTTAATGAGGCAGCATAAACGCACATTGCATAGTGGTAATTCCAAGGGGGAGTGTTATAAATAAGTGGAATGAACCACTATGCATGAATAGTGACATTTCACTATTTGAATAAATGGGAATAGTAATAGATATGAATGTGGTGTAAATTATTGTATGTTATGTCGGGAAAGTTTGCCTATAAAAGGCACCCGAAATGCAATGAAAATGTACAGAAGGAAGAAGAAAATTGAGTATAAGTGATATCCAGTTTCTATATTGTGTTCTTTATCTTTTCGGTTTTTTAACAGGCGGTTTATTTTATTTTGGAATTGTTTGTGGCATTTTTCAAATTATTGATGGCTGATGCTTTTGATGGAATTTTTTTTTTCCCGTTTTGGACAGTATTGTAAATTAGTCATGCCACTGGGCATCTACATATGGGCCGGGCTGTCAATATTGTTCTTGGAGCCATGTTCAAGATTGTAGGTGAGCCAAGCACGAGAAAATATCGAAGTCTAGTCCAAGATAGCCCAACTCACGTGTGATGAATTGCTCCCCACGTATACCAAATGCGGATAGAATGCTGGAAATCTATTCCTGCCATGTCACCTTCTCTAATTTTCTCCTATCCCCTCAAAAATAGACAAATAAAAAATAAAAAAACAAAATTTCTCTGTTCTTCCCCAATTTTCCCACCATTTTGCTTCATCATCTTTAGTGTTTCCATCAGAAGACAAAAAGCAGCCATTATCACTACATTTGTGTTATCTTTACTGCTAAGTCGTGAATTTTATTATATGTCTTTTCACCAGAACATCGTTCCTTCCAGGCGAGTCTTTTCACTCCTCATTTTTGTATATTTATCACTTTTGGTTACATATATTTCTGCACCACATCTTATTCTTTTATTTTTTTCATTTTGAATTTTCCAAAAATATTCCTGAAACGCAATTGACATAAAGTTAATCTCATGTATTTACTTGTCACCGGATAAAGTAGGCTGATATTCTTGCCATATGTTTTATGCCAATTCAACAACAATCTGTTTTTGGTGTTCCCAAGCTAAAATTAAAAATAAAAAATTAAGGGAATATTGGTATTTAGTTCTATTGAAGAGTGAAATTGGTGAAGATAAGTGATGCGGTTTTCAGAGACTTCAGACACATGTTCAATTTTAGAGCTTTCTGTAAAGTGATTTTTTTTTTTTTTTTTTGTTGTTGTTGTTGTTGTTGTTGTTGTTGTTTGTTTGTCTGGCTTGCACTTCTAATTTTATGTGATTTGCAGCTCTTCAAGTCCATGGGTGCCAATTAAACCTATCAGGGTCAATTTAGTTGTTGGCCCCGATCGACTGGTATTTAATCATAGTTGTACGTGGACGAGAGGCCCGAGGGTTTCCCATGTTAAATTTAGTTTTAGGTGCAAGTTGTCAGATTTAGGAAAACAATCCAGTAGCTTTCATAAACTAAGGAGGATAGACCGTCTTCTGCCTTTGGCTTCTGCTGATGATGGTGTGACAGTTAATTCAAAACCCCAAGCAAGAACTGGCGATGAGATTGGGGGAAAGAGGTACAAGTTAGATGAATCCTTGAAGGATGAGGACTACAGTACTGGCATGGTTCAGTTGCTGCATGATGCTGCCAGGGTGTTTGAGCTGGCAATTAAAGAACAAAGCTCTGCATCGAAAACATCATGGTTCTCAACTGCCTGGCTTGGTGTGGACAGAAATGCTTGGGCTAAGGCACTCTCTTATCAGGTTAGAAGAATATTTAAGTTTCTCAATTATTTTTTAGGTTAGTTGTTTTGGAACTATGGATTACCGAAAACCTGTGATCAAGCCTCCTGAGGCCTGAAACCAACACGTATGGTGTACATAGAAGAATTCGATTTACTTCTAGAAATGTTAAAACATACTAACATAGGAACTTGCATTATGTTATGAATTTAGGCAACTAGATGTGGGTGACTAATGTTGAATTTTCTTCTTCTGCTTCTTCCTCTTGTGAAATATACTCCTCTCTCTCTCTCTCCCATTCTCTCGATCAACCCCGATGACATATTAAGTTAATGTTTTACTGACACAATGATGTGTTGATGATGATGATATTGTGTTGCAGGCACAAAATTTGAATTTCAAAAATTCTTTTAGCTGTGCTATTTTGCTTAGTAGATTTCTTAAATATTCTTTACTACAACAGAGATGGATCAAAACAGTATGACTTTTTAATTTTGAGAAATTTCCCTTCTGGAACATCACTGGTTGTGGATATACCACTCTTAACTGAAAAATTACCCTGACTACCATGACCCTTTTTCGATATACTGATTTAGGTGTTCATTTTGCTTCCCTCATGTTTGGTGAGGGTTCATCTGTTATTCATTGTTTGTGCCTAAGGACCTGTAAAATTCTCAGGCGGCTGTTTATTCTCTTCTGCAAGCAGCAAGTGAGATTTCATCTCGAGGAGATGGAAGGGACAGGGATATCAATGTTTTTGTGCAGAGGAGGTAAATAATCCATTTTGATTGTGTGGCTTCTGATCTGTCTGTGACAATTGTTTGATATGACATCTTGGAATAGGTGAAATCTTGTTGGATTCTTTTTCCCTCTCCTTTGGATTCTCACATTTTCAATGTCTTCTATGTTTTTTACTTGAGATACTACTGGTTTGTTCTTTATTATTACTTCATTTATTGTTTTATGGATTTATATGTTGAATGCATGGGGATAAACTAGACTCCAAACTTTGCAAATTCATTTCTGATGTTTTTTCATTGTGTCGTTTTGGCTTAACGGAACTGATTTCTAGTTTCATTGTGTGTAGTATCCGGTTTGCAGTTATTCTGTTACATTTGCAGAAATATAACCCTTCTATTTCACTACTGTAGCATATCACGGCAATCTTCTCCTTTAGAGAGTGTGATCAATGATAAGCTGTTAGACAAACAGCCTGAAGCCTATGACTGGTTTTGGTCTGAGCAAATCCCAGCTGTGGTGACGAGCTTTGTTAATTATTTCGATAAGGAGAAACGTTTTGCCCCTGCTAATGCTGTGTAAGCAGCTATCATACTTTAATGTGCTACAGCATATTTTTATACACCCATATAATACTCATCAATGAGAATTTTTACAGGTATAGAAAAGGTTTGTCTGCAGTTTCTGGCAATTCAAGTGACATATCTCTTCTCTTGCTTGCACTTAGTTGTATAGCAGCTATCATGAAACTTGGCCCTACAAAAGTTTCTTGTGCTCAGTTCTTTTCCATTGTACCTGACATAACTGGTAGATTGATGGATATGCTGGTTGAGTTTGTTCCTGTTGGCCAAGCTTACAACTCGATAAAGGAAATTGGCATGCGTAGGGAATTTCTGACCCATTTTGGTCCACGAGCAGCTGCTTGTAGAGTGAAAAATGAACTCGATGCTGAGGAGATTGTATTTTGGGTGAGTCTAGTACAAAAGCAGCTGCGGCGAGCTATTGACCGGGAGAGAATATGGTCCAGACTCACGACCAGCGAAAGTATTGAGGTTATTCTGTATATTCTTCTGTATTTGAACACATTCTTTTAGTTGATTGGATGACTTGTATCTTGAAACATAAGAAGACAAGCAATAAAGGAAAATTTATCTGTTAAAGCAAATGTGTAAAGATTTAATTATTATCTTAGATTTAGTGCATCAATTATTAGTTGCCCACATAATTTGGTAGAATTGTGAACATAATTAGCAAGAAGGAGCAATATTTCATTCAGGAAAGTGATGAAGCATTCACTAGCCTATCACAGGACTTCCTTTTTTATCAAATGATGGAAGGCAACTAGGTTATTCATCAATTTTTGACTCAAGCCAAGGGCTTTCGCATTTCCATTTCCCAGCCCTTATATTTGAGTAGTGTGTGTACACTGACAGAATTTCTAAAATAGGCCTCGAAATCCAGTGCAACATGCTGGTGAGCCTTTGACACTTTTCTAGTGCGGACTTCAGTACAACGTTAGCCTTTTACACTTCGCACTTGAGACGATGATTTTATAAGTGAAGCATTTACTTAAATTTCTTAGCCAACCAAGTTTGTACTGGCCTTAATCCTTATTAATGAGCTGCTGGCTGAAATATACTTAAATTTCATCAACCGATTTATTAATTTAAGATTGCATTAATGTATGATATTGTTAAGGACCTATTGGACGTTTCTTTAGCTTTGTGCAGCATGTGCAGAATATGCGGTTAAAAGTTCTTGATTTCTTTCTGGCCTTTTTTGCTCATGTACTGATATATCCTGCCTTTATATGAAGGTTTTGGAGAGGGATTTGGCTATATTTGGGTTCTTCATTGCCTTGGGGAGAAGTACACAGTCGTATCTCTTCGCTAATGGATATGAAACTCTGGATGAACCAATTGAAGGATTTATAAGGTTTCAAAGATAGAGATGCATTTTGCTTTATATACCCAGTAATTTTTTTCTGTTCCTTACTATCTTCTTGAGCAGGTATCTAATTGGAGGCACTGTGCTTTATTATCCTCAGCTGTCAGCAATAAGTTCTTATCAACTGTATGTGGAGGTCAGCGTGAAAAATATATTTCTTTAGCAGAATCGACTTTGTGGAAGAAACTAAAGATCTGTGGATGTAACAGGTTGTTTGTGAAGAGCTAGATTGGGTTCCTTTTTATCCAGGCAGTAGTAGCAACTCCAAACGGACTATTGCACACAAACGTAATGAAGCCCCTCCCAACACTGAAGCTATTGCCTTAGTCTTAGATGTTTGTTCGCACTGGATCGAGAGTTTCATCAAGTACAGCAAATGGCTTGAGAATCCATCTAATGTTAAGGCAGCTAGGTTTCTTTCCAAAGGGTATCAACTTTTAGAACTTTCAAGACTTGATGATGATCTAATCAGCAATATCTTTAATAAGTTGATTTACATATTTTAAAAATAATTATATGATGCCATTTTTCCATTCCATATATTTCAGGCACAACAAATTGAAAGCATGTATGGAAGAGCTGGGAATTCAAAAGTATGTTTGAGATGACGAACATACCTAGTACCTATCTTCTCCCTGCATCCTATCTTTCTCATTCGTGCTTCTGAATGATAGGGCAGTCGAAACTTGGAATATCGGTGCTTTACATTCCTAATAGTCTGTTCAATAATTGCTTAAAGCACCAGTAGACATAGAGTGTCAATAATCTTTAAATAATGAATGCGTCGTAGAAAATAAAGAATAAAAAGCATCTCTTATAAATATAATCCTTTTTGCAATGTAGCATATTTTTCTCTTGGGAAACCGATGAGAATCATATAGGATACATTTGGACCACATTTTAATTGGCTATACTGAATATTGTTTAACTGGGGTCATTACTCATGAGGGGCTGGCCTCATGATATTAGTTTTCTGATTAAGGTATTGTTTGTTTGGAAAATCTTTTCATGATTTGGGATGAGAAACATATGATTTGGACCACATTTTAATTGGCTATACTTATTGTTTAACTGGGGTCATGACTCATGAGGGGCTGGCCTCATGATATTAGTTTTCTGATTAACGTGTTGTTTGGTTGGAAGATCTGTTCATGATTTGGCATCAGAAACATCTTTATATTTGGAGGCTTTGTTGAATCCTTTGAGGGAATCCATGTTCTTTTCTTCCTCGTGAACTTCTTTTTATCTATTATCTGGGATGGAATAACGATGGGCCCAGGGGACGCTGTGTCCTTTTAACTTTTTTTTGTTTTATTTCAAAAATATTTTCATATGTATGTTAATACAAACAACAACAACAACAACAACATACCCAGTACATTCCCAACAGGTTGGGGTCTGGGGGGTCAGTTGTACGCAGACCTTACCCTTGTAATTATACAAGGAGGTTGTTTCCGTAGCGACCCAAGGTGCATTGCGCCGTTTGATATATTTTTTTTTTCTAGAAACTTCACTAATAGAAGAAGCACTAGAATTTAATTGAGCCATTTTGATCTAGTCCATATTAGCACTATGCCAGGAGAATTGTCAACAATGACTCTTCCAGCTCCATTGGCAATGGACAAAATATGTATGTTAATATGAAAATAAAATAAAGAAATATGTTAAATAAATCAATAAATACACATACACCCTATTAAAATTGGTACCAATAACAATATTAACATTTTATTTTTCTTTTGGTTCAAGTTGATGTATGTTTTTCTAGTTAATTATCAAAAAATACAAAAGTTTTGCATATCTTTTTGCAGTTATTCCCCAAAGGCTTTATACATTTGTATTTTTTAACTGTTAAAAATTACTTTAATCCAAAAGTTGTTTTTAGCGTGCATTATGTGAAATGTCAATGTTTCATCAGATGCTTTCTTTATTTTTCACTCTAAAAAACACTGTAGCGTTCCTTTTTTTTTTTGGCATTTATTTGAATAGTTTGTTCAAAGAGATTGGAATAGGGATTAGAATAACTATCATTTGAGCCAATAATGGCTATGATTGTAGTTGTACTATTTATGATGCTGTACTATTTATAACTGAAATCCGATTAAAAGGAAAATAGTAGTTTCTGGTGCATCCCAAAAGATTAATGTTGAAATGATTGTTTAAAAAAGTCTGAGTAGTTCTCTGCATGTAATGCCTATAACTATCAACTCAATCTTCTCCTTGAACTGAGGCTGTTTGATGTTGAATTTGATACCACATGGCTGCTACCCAGTTTGCATTTCCTTTATATAAGCCATTTTAGTTAATATGTTGAAGCTTGTTTTGTCTTTATTGGAACTATAATTTTATTTTAATTTTCGCATCATCTGGGAGGGTTAAATGCTGATTTCTCTTTTTAAGAGAAATAAAATGTGGTTAACTTATAATTGTCTTTGTTTTTAACAGATATGACACATTGACATGTATTACTCAATATAATCTTGAATGATAATTTGGTTGCGGCTTAATTAGCTCGATGAACATCTTGTTATTTTTGTCTCAACAAAATGTGGTGTTTTTTCATTCACAAGATTATAGACTGTAACATTATTTTGCCAATGACATTTGGTTGCAGGAATCGTTCATCGGGTGATAAAGAGGCACAATTGTTTGATAAGGTATTTTGATAATATATCAAGTGAAGCTAAATGTAAATGATTTATGCTTTTGATCCATTAGCTTATGTGTTGCTTCTACATCTGGCAGAGCACAATGGCTTGGAAGTTATTTTAGTGAAAGAGTTGTCACACTATGCCACCTTCTAATTGAATTACTTGAAATTGTCTTGCTTGATGTGAATTTCAATTATCTAGAATGAAATGTAGTTTTCTCCATTCTTCAACCACGAAGTTTGTTGTAATTTTTTTTTTGTCCTATAACTCTGGATGTAGCTTCACATCATTTCCTATGATTTGGATTAGTAACTTTATGGTGTACTATATTCATAAAAATGAATCTGCACCTCATTACCCGTGTCCAAACTTTGAGAAAGATTGTTGCAGTGATGGACTGTATTCTGGAATTTCTGTTAGGCACTGGAGAATGTTGAAGAAGCTCTTCTACGGCTCGAAGAACTGCTTCAGGAGCTGCATGTATCAAGCTCTAGTTCTAGAAAGGAGCATTTGAAAGCTGCTTGTTCAGATCTAGAAAGGATACGGAGACTGAAGAAAGAAACTGAGTTTCTTGAAGCATCTTTCCGAGCTAAGGCAGCATCTCTTCAGCAGGTAAATGCTGCAATTCACCTGAATTATTGGCTTCAACCCAAAAACGTGGCTGAAATTGGTGGCTTTGATTGATACTCATCATTGGTATGTGGTATTTGTCTACTTTGATTGCACTCATGGATCTTGGGGGAGCATGATCACCCTCCTTGGTTGAGAAATTTGAATTGGATGTTTTGGAATGGAAATCTATCTCCTAGATATGAAAGTATAAATGGGCTTTCCTAATGTAGGTAGACTTGCTGATGAAATGATGGGATACGTGATAGGGTGGTTATAGTTGCTCTGGGGATTTAATGTGGACCATTTCGGACATCTTTTGGACCACACATGATATAATCCTGAAAAATGGGTTACAGTTGTGTACAGTGAAGTTTTATATCTGAATGAGAACAAGAGCAAACGAATTTTATGAACTAGAAAGTAAAAATACAGATGAAACTGTGATCATGAAAAAGTTCTAATCTATTCAACGATAATGCTGAAGTTTCATCCTCAATCTGATGCAAGAAGCTAACATATAGTCCACTCAACCATATTTATTAGGAATTGATGTAAAAAGACAAGAACCTTGTGCATCTTCCAGACTATTTTGTTTTCAAATGACCAGCTATGCTTGAAAGAAACATCACTGACTTGCCTTTGTCTGTGCGAGTCATTGACTCTATTTACCTTATTTCATAGGTTAACCTTCAATGTCCATGTTGCTTATTCATGTGGTTTCGAGGTTCATGCCCTCTTTTGGTCCCTCTTGCTTTAATAATGAAATCGAGTTTAAGAAAACATTGCTATGTTCATTTTATCTCATTTTGTGCTTTTCATTAATCGATTTAGTGTTGATCTTTTGGATAATCCAAATGAAAAGGTCTCAACCCTTCTTATTTTCTCATCTTTAAAATATCGTAGCAATCATGTTGACCTCTAGGCTTATATATTTTAGTTAGTGGTTATATTGACCTCTAGGCTTATATATTTTATTTAGTGGTTATTGATAGATGGATCAAAGTAGAAGTGTAGAAATCATCTGTAGTAGCTAGGTCAAAGGAAGAGGTTGCCCAACACCATATACTTATACACAGTAGCAGTCCAGTAACTTCGATGTGGGACAAATTATAACATCCACCCTCATGCAATGCATGTTAATCCAAATGGGCCGGGTCCAAACCCAGCACGCCTCGAGACAAACAAACATGGGTGCTCAGGTACCATGATAAATGGGCTCATTCCCGAAAGCTAGTTCAAATAAAGAGGGTGCCGAGTCCACACTTGTACGTAATAGCAACCCAGTAACTAATAGATGTGAGGCAAACATAACTTCTAACATTTACAAACTAACCTTCATATAGATAGATGTAAGTTTGTTGTGTTGTACACCATATCAATGTCCGTAAATTAATTTTCTTTTCCTGTTTGGCTTCTGTTTAATGTACAAGGGAGCTGTCAGTGGCCTTAGACCTCCAGTTGGTGAGCAGCAACTGTACTCCAGAGAAAAAGGTAGTAAGGGTGCGGATGCTGAAACTGATGGAAGCCGCAGGTGCAGACATATATCATAGTTTTCTGCTAATACAATCAGTTCAATCTTCACCTATTTATTATTTAATTTTTAATTATTTTCTTTGCTAAGTAGTCTTTCTGTTCTCTGGTAGCAGCTTTCGCGGATTATGGGGATTCTTCATACGCCGGCCGAATAAATTCTCTGGCCCGAGCTCGTTAACTGCAAATGATAGTGTATGCCTTGATTGATTCGAGAATTCATCAATTAGTTGTACATTTATTTGCTCATATGCTGCTTCCTTTTTCCTGCTCCTATCGATCTGTTTAAGTTCAGACCAGCTATGGACAATGTTGCACAGATGACCGCATCTATGATTTTCCTTGATCGTTCATCTAGTTGTTTCTTGGGACTTACTAGCTGTTTTAGCATCTAAGCTTGAATGCTTCTCCCGTTGATGTTTTTTTGCTGATTGCATTAGTAGCCTCAGTATATAATATTTTTCTTTTGCATGATACTCTCATAATCTCAAGATAACATCACTATTAATTTTTTAGTCGAATGTATGAGCGATACTTGTATTTTATTACTAAAGAATAATCACAGTAAAGTATACATTATAAGCACAATAGCTTAAAATTTGTCTAGCTACGTCATGCTTTCATATGTGTTTTCACTTTCAGTAGAGCTTATCCCTGGCAATTCTATAGTGTTTCTAAGAAACAGAATATCTATATTTTCAGCAGAATGATGGGATAGTTGAACAAGAAAATACAAATAACGGAATAACTGAATCAGAATCAGATGAAATTCAGCGCTTTGAACTTTTAAGGAGTGAATTAATGGAACTTGAGAAACGAGTCCAAAGAAGTGCTGACCAATGTGGACACGACGAGGTACATTGTGTCTCCTTTGTGGTTGAGTATTATCAGGTATTTGTATGACACGAAGTATAGGCCGTATCCCATAAAGATCTTACTTTTGAATTTATTATTCATTATCCTTCCGCAACTCATGGGTTTATTACCCATCATACTCTGTTTTTTGTTATCCTGTAAATTATACAATGAGTTTTCTTCCTTTACTGAAACTGGTATGCTGTTGGAGATGTGATTATGAAGATGATTTTGCTCGCTTGAAGAAATGGATGATGTTGTATTAATTTTGATTCTACTGTGAATGGATTTACTTTATATTTAATGAAAATGCTGCTTCAGTGAATGTTTCAATGCAGGAATTGGGGTTGCCATGTCTCTTGGCTCATTGTTAGATATACATGTGGATCAGCCTCATTCAATCTACTTTTGATAGGATTGATTTATGCGCTTAAGACGCATGGATAAAAATGCTTCTTTCTTTTAAGTTTCCATTCATTGGATTGAAACAGTTAGATGAACCCGGAATATGTTATTTGTTCAGAATTATTCATTGGTCTAGGTGAACCTAAATTGAGTAAGTATCAGATATAGTCTAGGGTTTCTGTATACTTATTTATGTAATATTCTGTTGGAGGTTTCATCATATCAGAATGTATATGTTGTCTTGTGTGTGTGTGTGTGTGTTAGGCTTTTTCATTGTCTTGTCTAAGGCTGTTTCCTTACTCTGATACTTCAATTGATTGAATACTTTCATGCAGGAAGAAGTTCTGGTTAAATATGACACATCTACACATAATGGTGATGCTAAAGGCTCTGTGTTGGTAGCAGTTCAAAAGAAAGACAGTATTATTGGGAGATCTCTAGACAAACTGAAGGAGACAAGCACAGTATGAATATCTTATACTGCCATATATGACAATAATAATTTGTTGCCTGTGTAACTATTGCAGTTATGATTCTGGGTAGCATGTTCAATTTTCCCCTGGCCATAGCTCTAACTAAAGCTTGAAATCATACATGAAGATCTAATTTCCAAGTTTATGTGCGTAGTTTTCTTCCCAATCTCCGTCCTTGCAGATTGACAACCAAAATACATTTCTCTTTGTAATATCATTCTGATCTCGAATTATGGGGTTATCCTTTCTATGCCGTTACTATAGAAACATCTCTAGAATTTAAGTGTAGTTAATTTCCTAAACTCGGACCAAGAACTATACACCGCCATTTCTTCCTAAACCAAAATTCTTCGTAGAGGATATTTGGATTTCCAAGATTAAAAACTTCTTCAAGAGTTTTTTATTTTATTTTATTTTATTTTTATTTTTTTTCTCTCAATGCAAAGTTGCTCGATGTGCCCTTTGCAGAGCCTTCTTCAATTTGTAATCCGTTAACTTGTTATTTGCACAAAATTCATGCCGAATCTGGTTCACCTTAGCTGTCACATAATACCGTCACAAACTAGTGTTCTGCATTTTTAGTTAAAGAACCAGGGAATGTAATAATTTGATGACATCTTTTACTACTTTCCTGTTCATATGTGAAAATATATATGTTCATCCATTTTCATATTGTTATACGCTGGAACATCTCAAAATTTTTAATATTCGGCATGCAGGATGTCTTGCAAGGCACTCAGCTTCTGGCTATTGATACAGCTGCTGCCCTGGGGCTCCTTAGGAGAGTGCTAACCGGGGACGAGCTTACAGAAAAAGAAAAACAAGCTCTCAGAAGAACATTAACTGATTTGGCCTCAGTATTGCCTATTGGCTTTCTCATGCTCCTTCCTGTAAGCATTGAGGATGTTATTTTGAAATCCAGAGTCTCTGCTTGTGTGTTTGTGGTTAATATTCTATTCTAATGGCATTTTGGAACTCTTTTTGTGAGTTAGCCGAAATGTTTGGGGTTTATAAAAATTCCATTGTAAGAAGTAACAAAAAGTAGCTGAGAATCAGAAACTGATGGTTTTTGCTTAGGCAAAATTGCATATAAATGCACCACTTTTAAGGCGTTTGTAATTTAATAATTAATCACCACCATTTGCTATTTGAGTTTAAATCACCAATCGAAGCATAAATTTAACTTCCGTTAAATTATGAGCGGGACTTGGCATAGACGAAACTTCTACGTCGTTAAATTTAACTTTCCTCTATGCCAAGTCGGCTCTGATCCAACGGAAGCTAAATTTATGCTTCGATCTGCAAAACATATGAAAGGTGGTGATTTAAACACAAATAGCAAAAGGTGGTGATTAAATTGAAAAAACCTTAAAGGTGATGCCTTTATATGCAATTTTTTCCCCTGCTTATATAGAAGCTAGAAGTTGAAATATTGCATTGTGTATGTTATCCTGCAGGTTACTGCAGTTGGTCATGCTGCTATGCTGGCAGCTATTCAACGCTATATGCCGGCATTGGTTTGTATCCTCTTTTATTTTTTAGTATGTTTGTTTGAATTGACATAACTTGCGACAATGTTAAAATATCCTGCTGTGCAGATACCTTCGACATATGGACAAGAAAGGTTGGATCTGTTGAGGCAGCTGGAGAAAGTGAAGGAAATGGAAGATGAGGTGGCCGTCAATGAACATTCCGACGATGAGTAAAAAGTAAAAACCAAACCAGAGCTTTCTTAGGGATTCTGGGTTATTTCTTGAATGGGCTTCCGTTTGTGGGGTTATTTCTTGAGACCATCCTTTCTTAGTTCTGAANTTTTAAGAAAATGGCCTTTTAAAGGAGTGAGTGACTACAGATTAAAATCAGTTTTGATTGATTGAATAATTTTTTTATACTCTTTAATTTAAAACTCACCTCAAGTTTAATTAAACTCAATTCTTCTCAATATTATCAAAATAATTAAATAATATCAATCAATCATCTTCACACACTACATAAATTCTAATTCACTATTTATCTACTCACATTTTTATAACCACCTATTATTTTTCATAACTTTCTCGTATTTTTACATCAAATCAACATTAATTATTATATTTTTATATTATTTAAATACAAATTCAAAATCACACGCAATTCTTCACTCAATCAACTTTATTATATTGAAAAAATTAAAATAATGTATTTTTAATTGATGGATTTAGAATGAGATATAATCATATAAATATATATTCAATTATTCAATTACCTTTTTGCCCAAGTGAACTGGGAGATAACTGTTGGAATGCTAATAAGAAACAGAAAGTTCTAACCTCGGTTTTTCAGCAGTAGTCGGGGGACTTTTAGTCCGCTATGTAGTTTGTTTGCCCGCAGATCACCCCATTGCTCGGAATCTGGCTACATTTTTTTATCGTGGGTGTCATTTGACTGCAGAATCTGGTACAAGAGTGAAAGCGGGAGAAGAAAGGTAATTTTCATGAATATGCCGATTGCTGGATCTCATCCCTCGCCACTAATTGGCTCTCCTAATTCTCGATTGAGGATTTTTTTTTTCTTTCTTTCTTTTTTTTTTTTTTTTT